CGATTAAGAAGGGAGTTTGAGACTCTAGAGATGAAGATTGGCGAACCCATTGTGGAGTACTTTGGCAGAGTCATGACCGTGTCAAACGAAATGAGCAATTATGGTGAAGAAATGACTGAGGTTAAGGTGGTAGAAAAGATATTGMGAACACTTACACCAAACTTCAATTTTGTTGTGTGTTCAATTGAAGAATCCAARGATATGGATACGTTCACCATCGATGAGTTACAAAGCTCGTTGCTGGTACACGAGCAGAAGCTAGTCAAGAAGGAAGTCGAAGATCATGCACTAAAGGTTGAAGATCAGACCTATGGCCGTGTTTTCGGTAGAGGTGGTCGAGGAGGATCGATGAGAGGCWGAGGACGAGGAYGAAGCAGAGRACGTGGCAGCTTTGACAAATCCTCAATAGAATGTTTTAAGTGTCATCAAATGGGACACTTTCAGTTTGAATGTCCTCAAGAAGGCAAGGGGGTAAATTATGCAGAATTTGATGAGAACGAGGAACTGGTGCTTATGGCTCACATGAAGGATGATRTCGTGGCAAACAAGGGGTATTGGTTCTTGGATTCTGCTTGCTCGAATCACATGACAGGTATGAGAAATTGGTTCACTAGGCTGAATGGAAATGTCAGACACACCGTGAAGTTAGGAAATGGGTTGAGGCTCCAAGTAAAAGGCTTGGGGGATGTTCGTTTCGAAATAGGTGGCATTACTCAAGTCTTTACAGATGTTTACTATGTTCCTCAGCTAACTTCAAATATGCTTAGTGTGGGTCAGCTCCAAGATAAGAAAGTAAAGATGGTGTTTGACGATGGAGCTTGCTATGTTTATCATCCAACCAGAGGTCTGATCATGAAGTCAACAATGGCAAAAAATCGAATGTTTATAGTGAATGGATATCAAAAGGATATTACTGGTCATTGCTTACAAATAACAGACGATAATGCTACTCACGTCTGGCACAAACGATTTGGCCATGTGAATCACAAAGCCATTCGAACCATGCAGTATCACAATATGGTAAAGGGACTACCTCAAGTCTGCGGGAAAACATTGGTATTGGAAACTTGCAATATTGGAAAACAAAGCAGGATAGCAATTCCAAAGAAAGCAATTTGGAGGTCCACYCAACGGTTAGAGCTTGTGCACACAGATCTTTGTGGGCCAATTACACCAACGTCTCAAAGTGGAAAAAGGTAYGTACTTGTTTTTATTGACGACTTCACACGTAAGACATGGGTCTACCTACTGGGAAATAAAGGGGAAAGCTTTGAGCACTTCAGAAAATTTAAAGCTATGGTTGAAACTGAAGTAGGTTCAAAAATAAAGATGTTGAGAAGCGATAGAGGGGGTGAGTTTACTTCACATCAGTTTACCGATTTTTGTGAAGAAAATGGAATTAAGAGGCAGTTAACAGCGGCTTACACCCCACAACAAAATGGGGTGGCAGAGAGACGAAATAGAACACTAATGAATATRGTGAGGTGTTTGTTAGTAGAGAAACAGGTACCTAAATGTTTTTGGCCAGAAGCAACTATCTGGGCCTGTCACGTTATGAACAGGTGTGTGTCTAGAGYTTTGGACAAAAAGGWTCCTGAAGAATTATGGACCGGAGAGAAGCCAAATGTTGATTACTTCCGTGTGTTTGGATGTATTGGCCATGTTCATGTTCCCTCTCAAGTTAGAACCAAGTTAGATGCAAGAAGCCAGAAGTGTGTGTTGTTTGGCATTAGTATTAGATCTAAGGCCTACAGGCTTTACGATCCAATTCTAAAGAAAATAATCATTAGCAGAGATGTCATATTCGAAGAGGATCAACAATGGAATTGGGGTAAAGAAACTGCAGGGGAGGGAGAATTGATAATAGAATAAGAACCTGTTCATCAAGCTGCAGTTACAGATAATGAAGAAGATGCGAGTGAGAATATCGAACCGCAAGCTCTAGAACAAGTTCAAGAAAGTGATACTCTCATTCCTGATGAAGGTCCACARKCAARCAGAAACATTRCAGCCACAAATGATGCAGCTGAATCCTCTACCAGAATGAGAAGACAACCAGTTTGGATGCAAGATTATGAAACTGGTAAAGAGTTAGAAGATGAAGMTGAGTTTGCCATGTATACGGCTCAAGGAGAYCCTACTACTTTTGAAGAAGCAAGACAAGAAGCTAAATGGATGAAAGCCATGGAGGATGAAATAAATTCAATAGAAAAGAATGAAACATGGGAATTGGTAGACATGCCTGCTGAATCTGTACCTATTGGTGTGAAATGGGTATTCAAAACAAAGMTGAATGGAGAAGGAAACRTAGATAAGTACAAGGCAAGACTTGTGGTTAAAGGCTATGCTCAACAAAAAGGGGTGGATTATGAAGAAGTGTTTGCACCTGTGGCTAGGTGGGACACTATTCGAGCTATTTTAGCTATCTCTGCTCAAAGAAATTGGAGGGTGTTTCAGCTCGATGTTAAAAGTGCTTTTTTAAATGGTGAGCTCAAGGAGACTGTGTACGTTGACCAACCTCCTGGGTTTGTCAAGAAGGGAGAGGAAGCAAAGGTGTACAAATTGAAAAGAGCTTTATATGGATTGAAGCAGGCCCCTAGAGCCTGGTTCAATCGAATAGAGACATATTTCAAGAGGGAAGGATTCAAAAAAAGCCGATTTGATCATACTTTGTTTGTCAAGAAAGTATGGAATAATATTCTTGTGGTAAGTCTTTATGTCGATGATCTCATATATGCAGGAACAAATGCTATGATCTGTGAAGGTTTCAAAAGGTCTATGCAAAAGGAGTTTGAGATGACAGACCTAGGCATGATGAAATACTTTCTTGGTGTAGAGGTAAAGCAATCTGAAGGTGGGATTCAGATCTCCCAAAGAAAGTATATGAAGGAAATTATTGAAAGGTTCCAAATGCAAGAGAGTCATCCAGTAGGAAATCCAATTGTACCTGGTGCAGTGCTTACCAAAGAAGGAGGAGGGGAGGAGATTGATTCAACAAGGTACAAGAAGCTGATAGGCAGTCTTATATGTTACAGTTACAAGGCCAGATTTGAGTTATGTGGTGTATCTATTAGCAAGATTCATGTCAAAACCAAGGATGGAGCATCTGGATGCAGCAAAAAGGGTGCTAAAATACTTGAAGGAAACAGCTACTTATGGGATATGTTATGGAAGAAAGCCACATGACAAACTAAAAGTCTTCACTGACAGTGATTATGCAAGAGATGTGGAAGATAGAAAGTGTACTTCTGGCTACATATGTTTATACAACGGGGCTGCTGTAAGTTGGAGTTCAAGGAAACAAGAAATCGTCACACTATCATYTACTGAAGCTGAGTACGTAGCAGCAGCTAACTGTGCGTGTCATTGCAAATGGCTCAAAGGTTTACTTGAAGATTTGGGTGAGAAACAAGAAGGTGCAATTGAAGTTATGTGTGATAACACATCAACTATTAAGCTGTCAGAAAATCCGGTCATGCACAGGAGAACAAAACACATTGATGTGAGATTTCATTACTTAAGGGATTTGGTCAATCAAGAGGAATTGAAATTGGTTTTCTGTAATACTAAGAATCAGCTAGCTGATATAATGACAAAGCCAATCAAGTTAGAAGWYTTTTGCAGGCTGCGAGCATTATTGGGTGTAAAGGAAGTAAACTGAATTTGCTCAAGTTCAGTTTAGGGGAGGATTTTGAAGCTGGTGCACGTGTTGGGTTTTGCAACGGTCATATGACCAAGTCCTAGAGTCTGTTTCTTAGTTTGAATAAGTATTAGGATAGGTCTTGTTTGTTTCCTTATTTCTAGCTTTAGTTTGTTCCTTGTAAGCCTATAAATGGCAGCTCAATTGCTTGAATAAAATCATCACATTTACAGTAAGTTTTTGTATGCTATCACTTGGTTTACAACAGATTTATCTTAAAACTAGACAAGTGAATGAAGTTAGACCCATCAATTTTGAAAGGGAAATTTACACAGATATTTATTTTAGAAATGGGTCTTCTTTTAGCCATTACAAAGTGGTTTCTAAAATCTTTAAAATAAAAATGGGTTTTTTCACATTTCAAGATTCTAAAAATTTAAAAATTTTATTTTTAAAATGATTATTTGTGTCAATTTTGCATTTTGAAATCATTCTATAAGGAAGTGATCCCATACCTAAAATCAAGTTGACTTTATTTTCAAATTTTGACTAAGTTTGAATTTTATACATTTGAAAACCTTCATTAAATCCTCATCTTTTAAAAAATAGCTTATTAAAAATAATTGGCATATTCAATTATTTGTTATAATGTTTATTAAACATAGCTTTTAATTTTCAATTTTTTAATGGCATTTCAACAAAATAATAATCTTAGTCTAATTCTATTCATATCATTTTAAAATATTAGTACGTGACTGAGAAGAGCTATAAAATGAGAGTGGTTTAAGTAAAGAAGGTGTACGAAATATGAGTGGTATGTGACTGAAGAGGTATAAATAGCAACCCCTTTCTCACAATAATATAAGCATCCTCCAATTTGTTTGTGGGTCCTATTATGGACAAAGACCGAACAAGTGAAAATGATCATGATATTGTTTTCGACTAAAAGATTGAAGAAGACAAAGACGAAGCTAAGAGAATCTTTTCGTGATCTCCGACTCACGATTTCTAGGTATGAAAGTTGAAATGTATAAAAATTGTGTAAAGAAAGACGAAATGATATCAAGTTTTATAAATTTGTTAATAAAAGCGTATTTCGAAGTTGGAAATTTGGGAAAGTGGAATTTTATAGAAGAAATGCAATTTAGAAAAAGGACCGGTTAAGAGACTCGTTAAATCAAATCTTACCAGTTATGGATTTTCAGCCAAGGATCAAGATAAGTAAGACCATTCACACTTTAAAAATCCTTAAAAATGGTCCGAGTTTTGGCCATGGCATGTCGCATATATATTTTTGACCATCAACTTTTAAACCTTTTACAATTAAACCTATTACAGTTAAACCTGATGAAGACAATAAAGAGGTTTTGGTCAAATGGTATGTCAGTCTGTGATCTCTTAAGAGGTCAAAGTTCAAACCTCATAAAAAATAAGAAGGATATATGAGTTTATTTGTTTTATTTATTTACCATATATAAATATCATATACGTAAGAAAAAATTGTTGAAATTAATATTCATTTAATTTAGTTGATATATAAGAAGGGAAAATGGGAATAAATAAAATAGATGAATCATGTAATGATGGTGGAATCGGGTGCAGGTGAGTCATACGGAGACAATGGGTGGTCACTCATTCTTTTCAAAATCTGGATCTACCACCCCAACTACCATAAACATTTTATTACTTAAATTAATGCCAAATACTATCTTTAGAAAAATTAATAATAATAAAAAAGAAAATTACATCAAAATAAAACCAACTTTCACCTGATTTTTATTTTGGGGAATCAACTTTAAAAATCGTTATTTAGGGGTCTCTATCAAACTTTTTGTTTATTTAAGGGTCTGGTTGACCTGTTAATACTGATATCATCCAGATTTTTTGTCAACTAAGATATTTCATGTCATATTAATTTTTTATTTTAAAACTAATATTTCACGTCATATTTAAAATTGTAAAATAGTTATAGAAAAATAACTAAAATTAGTTTTTTTTTTTCAAAAATTAATGCAATAAAATCTATTTTTCATTTTAAATCTCGTTTTTTTTTTAAATTCATATATCAAATTGAAGATTTTTTCAAAAAAAATCCAATTTACCACGATGAAAATTATTTTTTACTAATGCAATAAAAAAATTAAATATCACATTCAAGATTTTTATATCCAGTCAATCCGTATCAATATTAAAGTTTAAATCAAATTTGACAAATCAAACCAAAAGTTTGATAGAGACTCTTAAATTGTCTGTTACCTGTTCAACAGGTCAACCAGACCCTTAAATAAACAAAAAGTTTGATAGAAACCCCTAAATGACAATTTTGAAAATTGATTTTCCAAAAATAATAATAAAATAAAAGTTGGTTCTATTTTGGTGCAATTTGAAGTTTCTAAATAGAACAACCATTTTAGTTATATATCCCACTAAATTAATTAATATATAAGACCTCTCCTTAATTTAAAACAAGCACCAAATTAACATCGTGCATAATTGTAACATGATATATTACTTTTGTACTAGCTAGCCTTCAATGTTTGGGTGCAGAACCATTTTGGGCAGCTCCAGCTGCTACAGGGAATAGTTTCGCAAAGAAACGATCGGCTAAAATCGCGTTCGCAGCATCGGATGGATGAAAAGCGTCCCAGAACACGTACTCTTTTCGATTGGTGCACACGTGTGCATACGATAAACACAATCCTCCTACCGCCGTGTCCACCCTGCAGCACGATGTATCCGATACCTTGAAACCTTCATCCATACACATGCAACAAATTAACTCACTAGTTTATCGGTTAACATTACATGGTTTGTCGAACATAGCCATATATGGATTTTAATTAAGCTTACCATATTTAGAAGGGTCATTGATCAAATCAAGAACGTCTTGGTAAGTGTCCGCGAAAGTAAGTTGCACGTTTTTGAGCCTGTAGTTGAGAACGTTTACCAATTTCTTCACTTTCGAGTTGAATTCAAGCACCCATTCGTTTACTTGATGTAAACATTGATTCGTTGTTGATTTTGCTCGCTGTGAAGGAATGCATCCAAGCGGTCCAAGTCCATGAAAAATCATCTTTCGCGCCCCGAGCACGTAAAGCCTCTTAATTCAAACACCAAGAATCATTCAGCATACAAATGTCAATTACTTGCAAGAACCATGAGATCCAACATATTATATTTAACAACTACAAATTCTGTGGCGTTCACGACATGTTCTCAAACTATACCAGATCTCATAGATTTAAAATGTGTTCATGACGTGTCATGTGAATAGTCTTTTTAAGAAAGTATTCACAATCTCGTTATAAACCATATTAACATTTTTTATTGCTTAATGGGGTCTCAAAGATCTTGAAGATTAAAACGTTATGAAAAGAGAAATTGCAAGAGTGTGCATGTTTTTGACAGAGAGACTCACCGTAAACTGTTCTGCTAACTTCAAGTGAAGAAGGGCTAGAAATTCGTCGTGGGTGTATTGTTGACCATCGGGTAGGAATGGCTGCAAGAAATTGTTGACGTAATCGTTGCTGCCTGCATGTTAATTCATTCAAAACACTAACTTAAACAATTGCATGTGATTTCACTCTCTCTCTCTCTCTCTCTCTCTCTCTCTATATGTATATATATATATATATATATATATATATCTGCTATAATTAATTAATTTGACTGACCCATTCCAATGAAGTAGATGGCATCATTTAAAAGCTTGTTTGCAGCTTGTTCTCCAACTTTCGCCTTGATCACCTTTGTTGTGTTCTCAAAGTAATCTATTTGATCATCGAAAGACAGTCTTTGAATCTAATGGACCAATGAAGAATTAATCTCAGTAAGAGAAACAAACATATACATATACATATATATATATATATATATATATACATACATATAATTAATAAACCATTGATCATGATCTATCTTACGAAATAGAGCCCGGTGTCATTTAGAATTCCAGCGCCACCAGATGCGTAGTTAACCCCTTTCAAGATCGCATCGTCGGTCGGGTTTAAAGAAAGATAAGGCGGTGGAGATGGAATTCCAAGCTTTTCAGCTGCATTTGAAGCAAAAATTATAGTAGAAAGTCTTAAACTTGTAAAATTATATATATATATATATATATATATATATATATCTTTAATTAATTAATTAATTGATTACGTACATATGATATCACCGATGGTTCTGCCATTACTAAAGCGGCCGGTGGGTTTTCCGTTGCTGTAATCAATACCATAGAATGGAAAATCTGATCTAGCAAGAGAGTATCTCAAGTAATTATTGTTGCCCACTTCTGTTAAAGAGTCACCGAAGATGAAGGTAACGAGCGAAGGAGCGGTGGCTGAAGTGTGATGGACGACTGCACTTATGACAAATGCTAGAACCAGGGCAGGTGTAGCCATTGTTGTTTGTTTGGTTCCAAGAAACATCATCAAGGTTTTATAGAAATTCGGGGGGGTTTTGGGTGGGATTTTATTTGAAGTTGGTGGTGTTGGCCAACTGACGTTCCGTGACTGCAGTCAGGTTTTGCTTTTGGATTAATTAGGGTTTCTATTTTTCTTTTAATTGGGTTGGAAAATATACCCATAAACAATCATGAGTTTAAATGGCATGGAAAGACCCGTTTTTCATCCAAAATACAAGATTAATTAAACTAATTTTCGTATCTAATAGTTGACTTACTTTGAAATTTTAATGTTTATTCAAAGTATCGGTGAGAACATTTCCCCTTGCAGATCGTATTATGTCAAACCAAAACATAGGACAAGAAGTTCTATTATTGTTGCTTCGCGCTGCTAAATGCACCAAAAACAGCAATTACCTTCAACAAATCTTACATCTCGACTCTAAAACCGAAGCTAATAATCTACATGACGCCATAGATCCAGGGCCTTAAAAGAATACAAGCATATAAAAGTGGACCCATTAGAGGCAAAAAAATTGGTTTAAAGAAAAACATACTAAAAACATTCCATCATTTGAAGCATGCAATCAAATCAAACCAAATACAGAAGTAGTTCACCCCTGACAAGCTTTTTGTACAACTAATATTGATTCCAATTCTCTAGAACATGAGCATCTAAGTCTGCATGGCATGGTAGCTCTCCAGTTCCTTGTCAAGTTCATCAGCAGACTTGTCTACCGCTTGCTTCCGCCCTCGACCGCGCCCACGCCCACCACTTTGTCCCCGCCCACGGCCACGCCCACCACGACCACGGCCAATGCCTCCTCGCATGTTGGTCATACCACCACGGGCATTCCGTATACCTCCACGGTTTCTCTGACTTAAAGACAAAAAGACCAATATACCAATAAGCTCATAAAAGACTAGGTCTACGTATAGTTGTAGTGGAAACAGGATAACTATGATAACCGTAGGCAGACAAAAGAAACAAGACGAAAAACCTTCACAAAATGCTTACACGAATGCACGATTGGTTGCAGTAGCAGCAGGGGCTCCTCTTCCCCGACCAACTCCAGACCTGCATGGGATGATAAAGTAAACATTAGACACCAACATCAAGGAGCCTGAAACCTAATTCTCATGAAAGTTGAATAATGTGCATTCTAAATCACAAATCTACAGAACATCAAATAAAGAAAATTCTATAAAGCAATTTTGGTTCTTCCAGTGCATAAAAGGTGGGAAATGTAAAACAAACCTGTTGCCAAATGATGCATCAATAACATACCCAAGCTTTAATGAAACAATTATATAAATATTTATTTGCCAAACTAGATTGCACAATAGAAGTTAACACTTTTGAAATACCAGACGTAGATCCACCCTCCAACTGAAATCATTCCCACTACTTGTTCAAATACACCAATTCTTTGAAGGGAAGCAGGTCATGTCAGCATACTAAGCAAGGATAACAATTGATGAGAATGGACACTGTTGCAGTTATGAACACAGGAGCCAACAACAAATAATTGAAGAGGACCCCCCCGCCCCCACACACTTTTACAAAAAAAAATGTCAATATTTTAGCGGATTAAAGATTTTTAACTAACTGAAACATGATAAAAATGTTTGAATAACAGCCAAGAACCCGCTGACTTGTAGTCCAGCAATCTTTCCCATGCATCCAATTAAAATGCCAGAATTTCCATCTTTACATGTCCAGATCAATTGATGGTTTTGCTCACAAGGTTCCCTTTAGTTTGAAAACCAGAACTTACTTTCAAAAGCAGAGTTACCTTTATTTGTCATGAAGGATTAGTGTTAAAAGTTGACCAACAGCAAAAACTACTATTAGTATGCATGAAAAGCCCATTGTTGCAATCTTCATGAAAGAAACATAGTAGAACTCATTGAAAATAGAAGAATGTGACAAGTGCCACAAAAGAAGGGAAAAACAAGTATGAGAAAATGGACATACGTCATCACAACGGTCCTCTGCCCATTTAGACCTCCAACCACATTCACACGAGCAGAAAGAGGAATCTCAGGGTTGGAGCCTTCAATTTCAATCTTCATAGGCCTCCCGTCCAATTGTACATTGTTATACCGCTTAAGTGCTTGAAATGCATCACTTCTTCGAGCAAACAGGACTTCAGCTGAACCCTGTAACAAAATAAAAGGTGGTGAGAACTAGGGTGCAAGAGATTACTAAAATTACTCTTCACATGTGCCAATTCCAAAAAAGCAACAGAAAGCAGAACTTCAAATTACCAATTCAACATAGTAAATTATATGGCTATCCAAGTACCTATGAAGTGAAAGGCTAGAGTCAAATAAAAAAGCATCAGAGCATGCATACATAGGGCTGTAAACGAACAGAACATTCAGCGAATCGTTCGTGAACCGTTCGGCGGGAAGTTCGTTTATGTTCGTTTATTTAGTAAATGAACGAACATGAACAAATTTTTTTGTTCGTTTAGTTAAACGAACGAACATGAACAAGAGTCTCGTTCGTTCATTTATGTTCGTGAACGTTCGTTCATTTACCGTTCGTTTACGTTCGTTTATATTCGTTCGTTTATATATTAAATTTAATATATAATCTTTTAATTATATACTTTGAATTCAAATAATATTTATTTATGTTCGTTTAGCCCGTTCGTTTAGTCCGTTCGTTTATGTTCGTTCGTTTACGTTCGTTTAGCATGTTAATGAACGAACATAAACGAACACGAACATACCTGATTTCTAAACGAACGAACACGAACACAAAGATTTTCGTTTGTTTACCGTTCGTGTTCGTTCGTTTGTTCGGTTAAGTTAAACGAACGAACATGAACAAGCCTCCGTTCGTGTTCGTTCGGTTCGTTTACAGCCCTATGCAGCATACATAAAAAACTTGCATCCATGAACTTCTCTTTGTTTTGCCTTCATAATTCATGTATGTGTTCAACTGCTTGCTTCTAAAGGTGCTTTAACTAATATGCATGCACTCTTATCGGAACACAGCGAAGATATAAATCTGAAAGACTGTAACAGCAGGCATTCAACTATCATTCAGAAGATAACATTAATTACTTACTGTACGTACGTCAGATATCTTTTAGGGAGACTGAAAAATCTATTGAGAGAGAAATGAGAATGCATATTGATTAATTTGCATTACAGAGGTCCGATTCAGCTGAACATATTTGCATTAGTACGAACTGGCAAATTTTGCCACAATACAAGAACCATGCAAAAAGACAAGGGTTTAGTAACAAAACAAACCAAAGAGAACCGATAATGAAAAAAGAGTCATCCTCAACGGTTTACATTAGAACTAACATTGGAGGACAAAGGCTACAATTCTAACGATAAACATGTATATTCCTCAACTGCAATAGCTTCAAACAATCACACACTCCCCACCCACCCAATAAACAAATAAAAATAAAAATTCATTTCAAACCAGCAGACTCACGAATCAACAAATATCATCCTTAAAAGTTAATGTATTCATGGAAAAAAATCCTTGGATTTCTTCATCTTGGCAAATTGGTTTTGTCATTAGCAATGGACATGCAACTTATTAGACCAAACATGCAAAACTATACAAGAAAAGTGAAAGCAATCACATAATTAACTGTTAGATCTACTCCGTATCAAAACCTCAGGCATAAAAACATCTTAGATGTTAAGAAAAAGATATGTGTGTATTAGCACAAACTCCAATAAGTACACATCTACTTCATGATGAGCCTAGTAAACATCCATTTATATTGAACCCAAGAATTGTTAAACACTTACACTTGGACGGCCATTTTTGTCGTAATGAATTGCATATCTTTTCAGCTCTCCAATCTCAGAAAAAAGTTCCTGGGTTGCAAATAAAATCTATTGTCAAGAAACCATGTGGAGAACTGGCTTGGATGAGAGATAAGATGTCCATCTAAAAACACATTGCTTAAAATGTACCCTGATGTCTTCATTCGTCACTCCAATGTCCAAGTTGGAAACATGTAATTTTGCACCATTATCAAATCCTGGCAGACCAGCTGCTTTTAAACTCTCTTCAAACAAATCGCGCTGCCAAGCTGAATTCTTTGGTCTGCGGAAAGACTGGAGCAAGCATACCAAAAAAAAAGTCCAGGTTGGGACAAACGATGTCAGTCTATACCATAATATAAGATAATTCACCGTTCTTCATGAGTTAATCATTTATCATGGTATCACGAATGAATCCAGAAACAGTCAAATACTGAAATGACGAAATATTCTAACATTCAGGTATATCAAGCTACATATATGGAATGTAGATGGAAATTGGTGGCTAAACCCACTTCATAAAAACTTGTGCTATTGTAGAGAAGATGGCTCCAGTTCTGAAGTTCAGCTAAGAATCCTCTTTGCAAAAACGCCATAAACTAGGAGAGTAACTGAAAATCTTGCCAGTGAGATATCCAACATATGGCAATAGAATCCATCATAAACTCCCTCTTTAGAAAACCAGAAGAATAATGCGGCCACAAGTAGATAGAAATGATCAGATATAGGTATAGCTATTTTGGTCCCTGTATTGTTAGCAGATGTTATACTGTTGTGGATTCTTGGTAGTTTGACATGATGAAGCTCCTTTACATGATATGCTAGGGAGTAGCAGTATAACACAGTGACCCATCATAGGACTCTGTTTCATCGAGCAACTACATCAAGAAACCCTGTATACAACTCATAGTAGGGGACCATGTACATCACGGAACAGATGAACTAGAAGATGATAATTCTTTAGTTGCAGATCCAACATGAACTTCTCCATGAACAAAATAGTGTCAAACACCCCTCATATTTGAATTTCTAATGCAATTTTATGAGGTCCTCATGTTTGTATTCCTACTGAATTCTCTATCAAATGCATAAGATATCCATAGATTTGAGCTTGCCTTGGCAATAGTATAAGCTGATGGCCGAGCATTCAACGCGAGGGGACCTCTGCGAGGTGGCCCTATGGGTCTTCCACCACCAAATGACCTTCCTTGACCTCGGCCACCACGAGCCCTACCTCGGCCTCTGCCTCTGCCTCTATCAGTATTACGCCTGCTTTTAATCATATCATCAAGTGTCATATCCAAAGCGGCCATTGGAAGAATAATGTGCAGCCTTACTTTCGGAAATTAATATCCTGTCAAACACCAAAATCACAAGTGAAACAAAGATATGTATCTCCTTGCAATGACATCATGGAACGTGGTTATACACTATGAGAATATGCACCATTAGTTGACCATATAATGGAAGATATATTACAATACAGCTACCTTAGAACGGTTTATATGCACAGTACAAAATACCATCTACGAACACAAAATATACACAGTACAAAATACCATCTACAAACACATCATATGTGCAATACAAAATACCGTATAAGAGCACATCATATGCACAGCACAAAATACCGTCTAAGAACACATCATATGCACAGTACAGTAGCATCACCGCATATACGACTGGAGTTTTAACGGGTCATGATTTCATTAGTGCTAGCAAATATAATTGTTCACATTTACAAATCCTGAATTTCCAGGCTTATATTGTTGCAAATAAACTAATCTCACATCCCAAGTTAACTAGAAGACATGTAGCACAGTTCCTCTTTTAACCTAAACAGCCACTAATATTGGGACATCTTTGTCCAAATACCAGTTGTGAGTTAAAATTGGGAGTCTCTTAAAAGTCATTAGTTATGAGTTAGAACTATGCGTCCTTAGTAGTAAGTTAAAACTATGCGTCCTTAGTAGTAGAGTTCGCTGTTACAGCAGTCAAAATCTGAAATAGCGGTCAGGACCATGATTTGATATAGCAGTTATCGTGATGGTAAAGCATGGTATAGTGGTCCACAAATAGCGGTTCATGTAGTAGTTACAAGTATTTATAAATGTATGTATGTATACATAACATATTATATATATTGAAGATAAACAGGAGAACACGTGAAATAGAAGAGATGATGAGCAATCGATGTTGGAACTTGGAAGATAATGTTTTTGTTGTGAAAAGAAGATGCAGAAGAGTAGAAGACAATGCACAAAGCTGGAATAGAATAGATCTAAAGAGGAAACGAGAATTTAGACACTGATAATGCAAATCTAAATCAGCCCTCTAGCTCATCATCCCTTAATTGAATTCTCTAAACCCTTCAACAAGCCAACTGAAAACCCAACCCTGAATTGCGGCTTTCATTCCACTATTGCAAATAAGATTTGCAGCCCAATTCCCGTCATTAGCACCGCTATTAGTGGAACCGCTATTTCCCCTAGTACCGCAAACTAAATATAACACAGCAGTTAACAGCATAGTAGTAGACTACTGATGATTTTGCAGCATTATGATCCAGAGAAATATTCTAGAATTCTGTGTAGTGAGTTGGACTCCTGTAACCCCTGGGAAGAATGAGTATGATTATGTACAGCCGTACAGGTTTATGTGTAGGCCAGACAAGGCCTCACAAATTTAAATGCGAAATCTGTGACATCCCATCATGCCCCATATCAGCAGTGATTTAGAGTTGTCAATAACACCTTGGAGGCTTGGACTGCTAATAAAAATATATAACGGCTTTAGTTGACTTGAAGGTTGTTGTGTTAGTTTGCTACTTCGGAGGCAAATAAAAATATTATGAACTTTTTTCACCTGGATTGGCTGAATAGCTAGCGTGTAATAGTTGCTATTGCTGGAAATAAATAAGCTCACGTCTCAAAGTTAAAAACAAACAAAAAAATCAAAGTCCGTCGTGAAAAGGATCAATTAACATTCAAATATTTACAACGCAACAGGCAAAACAGAAAAACTAATTGGATTTCGTATCAATCTAGTGGTCAATTCATATAATTACACAAAAACAAACTATAGAACTTACAAGATCGATTAGCAAAATAAATTTACCTGAAGATGGTCGCAAATCTATGGCGTTACGATCAATGAGCACCAAATCTGTGATTTCCGTTAGGTCACGTCGCAGAGAACCGATGTCGGAGAATGTATGCAGGCGGGAGAGCGATTGTATGGTGAGGAGCAAGAGATGCACCTGTATTTTATGGCTACTGATACTGACTACAGCTTGAAGAAATCCATTTGGGGATTGAATAAATGGGATTGAATTGAAGTAGGGTTTGGGTGGAAAGTGGAATCGAAGATTTGACGAAGAAAACTTGGAGAAGGGGCGAGGGTTTTGTACAGCGTTCGGGCCTTTCGTGGGCCGAGACTACTTTCCCTTTCCTTTATTTCCTTTTCTACGAAACTTCGCCAACGCTAAAAAGGAAAAATTGCAAAATAGGACCACATTTTATTTGATTCTTATTTTGGAAAACCAATTTTTAAAATCGTTGTTTAAGAGTCTTTATTAAAGTTTTTATTTATTTAAAGGTCTGGCTAATCTGTTAAATAGGTAATAGGTAATTTAAAGGTCTTTATCAAACTTTTGCTTTGATTTACCAAATTTGATTTCTTTAATATTGATACGGATTGGTTATATATAAAAATCTTGACTGTGATATTTAATATTTATTTTTTATTGCATCAATTAATTTTTTCTATTAAATTAATTTTTTTATTGCATTAGTAAAAAACAATTTTTGTTGTGGCAATTTGGATTTTTTTTGAAAAATCTTCAATTTGATATCTGGATTTAAAAAAACGAGATTTGAAATGAAAAATATATTTTATTGCATTAATTTTTGTAAAAAAAAAACGAATTTTAATTATTTTTCTATAATTATTTTGCAAGTTGGTTCCCCAAAATACGAATCAGGTGCAAGTTGATTCCCCAAAATGACGATTTTGAAAGTTGGTTCTCCAAAATAGGAATCAGGTGAAAGTTAGTTTCATTTTGGTGCGCAATTTTCCTCTTAAAATAACATTAAAATTGTGAGTTTTTACTTTGTAACACCAATTTTCCTTTAGAAAAAAAATATTTACGGACGTTTTGGAGAGATCGGTCTTAAAAGAAATTGTTTGGTTTTATATAATATAATAATTTTATTTTTTCTAGAAATTCAAAAAATTTCTTTGAAGTTAAACTGGAGGGAATGAAAAGTCATTTACATCTCCATTTTGTCAATTTCATTTCGCAATCTCAACTAAATATATTTACTATATATTCTTTTAAATGAAAGTCCAAAAATAAAACTTAACAAATTTTCTTATTTTAAATGGCTCAATGTTTAAACTGTTTTTTTAATGAAAAAACCATTAAACTTTCTCATTTTGAATAATTAAGTTCTTAAGATTTTTTTAATGAAAACTCATTGAACTTTCACATTTTGAATGATTAAGTTCCTTAATTTTTTTTTTTTACAAATAAACAAACCATCAAGCTTTTTACTAGCATGTTAAAATAACTTTGTGGATTAAAAAGATGTAGGTAACCTATTCGTAAAAATGCAATGGTTTATTTATTAAAAAAAATATTATGGGATTTAATCAATTAAGACAATAAAATTGAATAGTTTTTTCATTCAAAATGATAATGCTTAATGGTTTTTTCATTCACAAAAATAATTTAGTAACCTAATCATTTAAAATGAGAAAGTTTAGTAGTTTTTTTATTCAAATAAATAATTTAGGTACTAAACCATTCAAAATAAAAAAGTTTATTAGGTTTTTTTTGGAAATTTTCCCATTCTTTTATTATGATAAATTGTAAACATGTAATTGGATTTGGGTTCATTTACAAATCTAATCATAGTACAAACTAGTTATTTGAGATGTGTTTATAAAAATGATGAAGGTTACTAATTATAATATGAATTTTTATTGAATACTATAAAATGATTAAAATATTCATCGAACCATATATTTATTATACTATAAAGTAGTTATCTGAATATTCATAGATGCAAAATCATAAACACTTCAAAATTAATATTATATACCATATCATTTTTACATATCATCGTAAACCCATTCCACCTTGAAACAACATTTTTGCTTTTGGGAAGTGTTTGGTTCAGGCTGGGGAATGAAAACGAAAATAAAGATGAAAATGAGAATGACTTTTCATCCCCCTAGTTTGACCTGAGATGGAATTTTAGGCTTACGAGGGAATGAACCAAACAGTTTAATATAGACATCATTTGAGTTTTTATGTTTTATCATTTTAAACTTTAGGACTAAAATAAACTTTTATGAACCATCAATCTTAGAAACAAAAACCTATATTGATTATGGTTTGAGATCTTATTCTTATTTTAGAGACGAGGAGTACTTAAAATTAGTGGTTGTTTGTTTACCTTTTAATAGTTTATTTAAAGAGGCAACCCCTGAATCGTTAAGATGTGAATCTTGTTTGACAAAACAAAAGTCTGTCTCTTAATGGTTCTAAAACTCTCTGAATGATTTTGTATGATGAGTCTCTATTAACCATTTAGCGTCCTAATTTGGTTGTAAACAATTACCAAACAGTTATATTTTATTTTGCACTATATTATGAGAACTTGTTAATCATCTATACTATATTATAAAGCATTTGACAAAAACTCTTAAAAATATTTTATATGCATAAAGTACAGTTTATTAATGCATATTACTTAAAATTCAATATTACAAGTAAATTGTGCATACGCACAACTTATTAAAGCTATACGATTGAATTCGTGTAACTAACTGCGAATAAACATAATCAAATAGAGGATAAACATCTCATTTTAACATATAAAAAATCTAAAATACAATTAAGATAATTATTGAGTTATAACAGAATATTTAATTATTATATTTATAAAAAATATTATTAAGCCTAAATTAAGTTAATTCGTTACGTTAAATTAAATTATAATAAAAATCTATAATATACTATAAAGCATCTAACAAAAACTCTTAAAACATTTTTTTTATGCATAAAATACCGTTTATTAATACATATTACTTCAAATTCAATATTACAAGTAAATTGTGCATAAGTACAACTCATTAAAGTTCTAACTTCTATGCTTGAATTCGTGTAAATAACTGCGGATAAACATAATTAAATAGAGGATAAACATCTCATTTTAAAATATAAAAAATCTAAATATAATTAAAATAATTATTGAGTTATAACAGAATATTTAATTATTATTTTTATAAAAAAAATATTATTAAACCTAAATTAAGTTAATTCGTTACATTAAATTAAGGGTATTTGGGATTGCTTTTCTGAAACAACTTATGTTTTTCTACAAAAGCACTTGTTAACTTATTATAAATCAGAAGGGTTTAACTTATTCAAAAGCTCCTCGTTACCGGTTTGACACCAGTATAAGTTGTTTATCCAAACACTTAAAAGTGCTTATTACCGGTGCCACACCGGAATCAGTCAATAAGTTATTTTTATAAGCAATCACAAACACCCCTTAATTATAATAAAAAAATTGAATTAAAAAAAATAAACAAACAAGAACTTTTAATTAGATAATTTGATACTAATATTGATATAATTTTTGCAAATTTATATTATATTCAAAAATAAAAACACTATTGATTTCTCAAAACCACATAAAATTGTATTATATCGACATGGATAAAAAATAAAACGAAACATTGAAATAGAAATGTGTCTCGATGCATTGCACGAATACCCTTCTAATTTTACACTAAATCATTCAACAACTACCAATTACCAAACAGCCATACACCAAATCTCTCTCTCTCTCTCTCTCTCTCTCTCTCTCTCTATATATATATATATATATTAAAAAAGAAAACACTATGTATGATGTGGCATCTTCTAAAGGCTAAGAGCTTATTTATCATTTTTCTCCTTTTTTTTTGTTTTTTAAAATACTAATCAAGTTAAAGACTTTTATGTCCCTACAAGCAAATTGTATGTTTCATAATAGATGAAATCATTTGGTAATTTTGCCAATAAGTTTAACCTCCCAAACTATTCATGTTCTTGATAAGCATTTACTTAAGTTTAACCTCCTAGACTATTCAACTTATTGACAGACACTTCTTTTATTTTTTTATTGAAATTTATTTACCTTCTCCAACTTTTTATCTCTTCCTCTCTTTATTTTTCAATCTCTTCCTCTTGATTTAGTTTTGGCATAAATTACTATCAAGAATCAGGTGATTATGTTCTTAAAAATCTATATCTATATATATATTAAAAGAGAAACCAAGATTGATGACTTGACTTCTTCTAACGGTTAGAAACTTATTTATCTTTTATTTCATCTATCCTCCTTTAATCTTTATTTTTTTTTTAATTTCACATTCTAATTGTTTATAAACATTGATTATTTATTTATGTTTGCATTTAACACAATCCTTTCTTTTTCCCTAACTCTTCTTCATGAATTGTTCATCATTCAATCTCTTTTTTTCTATCTCCATCACTTGATTTGTTTGTCATTTCATTTTTCTCCATCTCCATCACTTGATTTGTTTTTCATTTCATTTTTCTCCATCTCCATCACCTGATTTGTTTTTCATTTCATAAATTGTTATTTTTCAACAAATCTATTTTCAAGTTTATTTCGAGAAGACTAATTCAGATATGCATTCATTTTTATTTTTGTTGGGATTTTAGAATTTTGTTTTTTTCACCTTTCTCTTCTATAATTTTCCTAAGTTTTCTCAATGAAACAGAGAGTTTGTTCTTGACGACAAATTTAGAGTTTTCATTTACTTTTTATATATAAGTTACATATAATAATTTAATAAACTTTTAAATCTGTATATATATATATATATATATATATCTATAATCTATAAGTAAGCACCAAAAGACATGATATGGCACAATGTGGATTGAAAATTCCAAAATATTGAATTGTAGTTAACTTTGTCGATTTCACATTGATAAAAAAAATGATATATTGGAACATTAAGGGTGATTATATAAAGAAAATGATGACAACTTTTTTCTTTACATGGTTTTTTTATTTATGATTACTTTAATTCATTTTGGATTAAATAGTTATTTTTAGTTACAAATTTCTTTGTGTTGATTTGATATTCTATTTTGTTATACAATTAATACAATATGCTTATTTCATTTGTTTCGTTATATCTTTGTATATATGAAAGTAAGAACCAAAAGAAATGAAATAACACAATATGGATATTGAATTATGGTTAACTTTGTCTATTAATTGATATAATCTTTATCTTTATATATATGTATATGTATGTGTGTATAGGGACGAGTAAATGAAATTAAAATTAATATATAAATAAGATTATAATCAATGTACATAATTAGATACTTATTATTAACTCTCTCATTAGTAAATGAAATACTTATTACATTTAATATCACTTATGAAATTAATTAAAATAAATAAATATAACACATAGATAAAATAATTATTAAAATTAATATAATATTATATACATATATACTTATAATCAATACGTAAAATAGAAAATTATGACAATCAATGTATAAAATTAAAATTAGAATCAATATATAGCTAAAAACTTATTTCAATAAATATAGTAATATAAAAGATAGAGACAACTTATAGTTTCTCTCTCTCTCTCTCTCTCTCTCTATATATATATATATATATATATATAATCAATTTCTTATTTAAGCTAAAATCAAACTCTATATATAATTAGCACTAGAATCAATATAATACATATATTTTATTTTACATAATTTTATTAAGACCTCTTCTTTTAGAATTTTTTTATAGAGAAACCAAACTATGAACCGTTTAAAACAAATATAAAAAACTCTAACAAGTCAAATGAAAAAAAATAACAATTCAATCAGACTCCTATGTATCAGGAGTAGTCATAATACTATTGTTCCACTTTGTGCAATTGCATGTAGGAAAAGAGGAGTTTTAAGGAGTTTTTCATCAATGATGCAAATGAGTATATTATGAATAATACGAGCAAATTGCAAAAATATTCAACACTTATATCAAAGTAGGTAACAACACAATATTTGTTTGGTGAATATAAATATTTTATGAGAATATATGTAGGAGATAAATTGATATGTATTATGACAAAACAATTCTCATAATACACCTCATGATTATAATCAATATTTTCACATATTTTTTAAATAATTTTGAACCAATTACGAAGTTTGATATAATAAAAGATTGTTATATAAGACTTATTGATATATATATATATATATATATATAAAGATAAAGAACAATCAATAATGATAAGGTTGATTCATATATTAAAGTAATTATTGATTATTATTAATTTAATATATAAACGTGATCATCGATTCATTTAGCTAGCTTAAATAATTTTAAAAAAATTATTGTCATCGTGCAGTGCACGGTATCAAACACTAGTTTTAGATAATAAGTAATATCTTATAAAACAAATTTAATAAAAGTCTTAAAGTCTTAAAATACCAAATGACCAAGATATATTTTATATCACTTTTTCACCCCCTCCTCTCCTTACATACACTCACCCTCTCACAACCGATTTTTTAAAAATTATAATTTTAAATTTACATTTTATACCCCTATAATTAGTTAATTAATTTACTTTACGTTTTTTACTTTTAAATGTTTCATTTTAAACCTTTATCAAATTAATATACATAATCGTATATCACAACCGATTTTTTTAAAATTATATTTTTAAATTTACACTTTATATCCCTATAATTAGTTAATTAATTTATTTTACGTTCTTTACTTTTAAATGTTTTATTTTAAACCTTTATCAAATTAATATACATAATCGTATATCAATAAAAACATGTTTAAAAAAATACGTTTTTATTATAACAAGTTACATCATTATTATATATTATATATACTGTAAAAAAATATTTTTAATATTTACGATTTATACTTTTATAGTTATTTATTTATATATATACTATATATTTTGGGATTAGGCTGTCCAAACTGTATAATATGTTCTGAATTAATATGTTCTTGGGTTTTTTTGAAATATATATATAAATGTATTAATTCAACCTTAATCTGAGTTTCTTTCTCTGGACAAGAAAGAGGGTAATTTTTTTTGTCTTTTCATGACTTATGATCTGTCAAATTTGTAGTTTTCTTTATTGGTTTTGAGTGTTTATCTTAAAACTCAAGTTTATTGGTTATTTGCTCTTGGTGTAAATCAAACATATTTGTGGAGTCGTTTAAATATGTTGGATTTTAAATATATTAGATTTTAAACTGTCATACAAAATTTTCTATCGATAGTCTATAATTGGAACCATAACTCTTATTTATTCAAATTGTATTAATATGTAAAGACCAAGTGTCACATATATCATCGTTATATTTTATCTTATAAAACCAGTAAAACTTCAAAATCGTTAAAATTCATGACTTCTGCCACAACTAGTAAGTAATCAAATAATGTTATGGAAGGCAAAAGTAGTTTTTTCGTCTTTCAATCCAATTCCAAGGTGCCATCGTTTTTCTGGTTTGAGGTACGTGCGGATACGACGTCGTAGCAACTTCTTCCATCTTCTCTTGATGCCTGTGTGTTTACTTCTTTTTCCGCCAATTAATTGAAGCAGTCCCACCTTCCCAAAGCCACTTCAACCGCCACCGGGGTTCATCCTCCACCGCAGTTTAGGAAGCAAGAAGGACTCCACACTTCTGTCCATCACTACCCTTCCGATTATCCAAGAAAAAAGGACATGAAAACCAGAAATCAAGCCAAACGACAGCGTCAATCAACAGGTATATACTTTGTCGATCTTGCAGCCGTCTCACAATCACTACGATACAAGTGACATCCTTCTTGATTTTACTCTATTTGTCTTGCAACGTTTCTTCTTTTTTGCAATAATGCATACATTTGCGGTTGGAATGTTGGGAATTGGATGAAAAAACCCTAGGCCCATAGCATTTTATTTGGGTCGAGATCCTTCTAGGAAAATATTACACCTCCCTCCATTTCCTCCTCAGAAGCTATTCACCCTGAGAATCAATCATCCTATTTTGACGAAACTAGAAAAATGTTGGTGGTATGGTATTTTAAGGAGTACTATGTATGAGAAGATAAATAATCTTATCTTTTTTATAGTATGTTAGGAGTACTTCACTTGATACGCATAAAGGTGCCTAAAGCTGAGTATAGAAACTGAATCAAGGGCTGGAGTATTGTTGGATACTCAAGTTGGGTTTATCGAATTGATTATAAAATTGGTAAAGCAATGGATGAAGGACTGGATGAAGTCAGTTTTTTATTTTGCAGGTGAAGATGACTTGGTTAGCAAATCTGGACATGATACAAAAGCAAATGGTAGTTGTCTGTTTCTGTTCACCGTACAATTTAAATACTTGCAATTGTTTACAATCGAAAGACATCATCTTGCTTAAAAATATGCTGCATTGCCTCCATTAAATGCTAAGTTAAATTTCATACATATTAAGAGAAATATTTGATTATGGCTTGTTTATGGAATACCCTTATTTCTGCACTGTATATTGATAGATTCACATGACATCTTATGGAAAAAACAGGGCAAAGATATGAAAATATCAAATTAAATTAGGGATCATAGTAGACCTGTTGTATGTCACTTACCTACATTTTGTTATTATGTAGGAGTGTGGTTAGATTCATCTGTTAGTATTTCACCATCATACCTACTCAAGTCTTCAACTGATGCTTTGTAGTAAACCTGAAACAGAAAATTATGTGAATGAAATCTGAAACTTATTGGAATAGAGTTATGGTTTGAGATCATTAATGAGAAGGATTTTGTCAAGCATCCACCCATTTGCTTCACATATAGAAAAAGGAAGGTGCTACATAAGCCCAGGGAAGAGTGGACCTCAGGTAATAAGAAATAAAAACATTATTTGGTCGGTTGGGGAAAATCTGCTAAGAAGTGGCAGGGTAATTTTGGCCAGCGCCAGTTGAGGCAATTCTGGAATGTTTTTTGTTTTGCTTTAGTTATAAATAGTGGAAAGGTAGGGGGGATAGGTATGCAGAAAATGGTTATTTTTTATGGGAGATCCTCGTGTCTCGAATTGCTAGTTGTCTTTTCATTTTGTTTGCTTTCAATCCAAGCTGGCTGACCATGTCATCCTCAAATCATTTCTTTCTCAATTACTGGTTTTTAACGAATTTATTCCTCAATATTGCTGATGAAAAAGTTGACACTTTTATTAATGTTAGAAGTAACCCTATATCAGGTACTCTTGCTGATACTTCAGAGGAGGCTGTCAACCCGTTTCTAAAACGAGTTGGTTCACTTGGCTCTCGTGAGTTGAAAGATGATTCTGCAAGTAAGGTTAGTTTCTGTGACATCAACTTGCAAGCATACAAAGAAATGGTAGTACATATTTTAAACTGTATGCATAAGTTGGAGCTTCTTTTTCTAAGATTATTTAGTATTTAACCTGCTTTCTATGTTACTATTTAATGATGACCTTAAACCACTAGGAATGATGTTTCTATTGGTTCACTTTTCAGTTAGACAACCGGCCAAAGGGAAAGGAAAAACAAATTAAATACGACAGGCATGCACAAAATATCTCGGAGGTCGATGGTTCTAGTGGACATGCCAAATTAGAGAATTCAATACCTTTGAAAGCTGATGGCAGAAGTCCTCAGCAAGCTAAATCCGAATTGGAGGATGTAATGGCTGATTCAGATTGGGAAGATGGATCAAATCCCAATTTGAATTCTGAAAGCAGCCATCCAGGTCATATAAACAAGGATATTGCTATTGAGTTTGATGCATCACCTGGTACTTCTAAGCGGAAGTCTGTACGTCGAGCTTCTGCTGAGGAAAAGGTTCATTGTAGAATATTAGTATATAACAGATGTTAATGGTTATTATGCTTAAGAATAACTCTCCAACTGTACTTGAACTTGAACGTACTATCATTTTTCTCACAGCAAGTGGCTGAGCTTGTGCACAGGACACATTTACTCTGTTTACTTGGACGGGGACGGTTAATTGATAGTGCTTGCGATGATCCTCTCATTCAGGTTATTTCCTCATCGTTATTGACACTTGACATTGAGTGCTAAAATGTGGCAAATTCAATTTAATCTTCTTGACTTCTTTTCAGTTGCCGCTAGTTGGTAGTAACATGAAAAGGCCGCTCATCCTATTGGCATATGATGAAGCTGCCCCTCTAGTATCTATTGATGATAATACTGAATTTTTTTTAAAATATAAAATATCGTACTTGATTGAAATCCGTTGTACCTGAATATAGTCTTAGGTATCAGATATGTAATATTTATTTAAAAGCTTTGATGGATTGTAGAGACAGTGATGCTGGTGCTGCCACTGCCCATCACTATTAAAAAGTCCATGCTAGTTGCATCTCAAAGCTGGAATTATGAAGTTGTCTTATACAAAGAGTTCATACACATTTGTAGTCATGAAGTTAATAAATATTGGAGTTTATGCCCTTTTTTATCCCCTGTGTGTAGAAAGTGCTAACCTATCTGCTTGAGTCATTTTCTGTTTCAAATGGTTGTCCTCTACTTTCATATATAGTAGAGGAAGAGCTTGGAAGTTGCAAGAGAAGAGGGTTGGGGGTTAATGAATCTCTATCTGTTATTAGGCCATTATTATAAGCTTCTTCTTACCCGTTTCTTTGCAAATCGCTCCCTCTTTTTGTGGTCTCACTGTGGTATATATGCTCATAACAGGCTTCCTTATTGTCACTTTTGCCAGCAGAGTTGTTGAATTTATTGAAAGTCGCAGATCTTACAGTAGATGCCTTGGGTTCTTTGGTCAACTGGGTATACTGCTTTCTTATTGCTTTTCTACTTTTCCTCTCTACTTCCTTGTCCAACTGTTCTGTTAACTAATAATTCTTTTTTGTTATATCATTGTTTCGATGGATTTTTATCACTTGTAGTTCCACATTAACTTCCACGTCAGAAGTTCAAGCAGTGACAGATCCTTCCATTCAGCTTTAGCCAGGGCACTTGAAACCCATGAGGGGACTCCAGAGGAGGTATTTCTCTGACAAGATTGGACTTCTCTTTTGTGCACAGAGAAATGCATATATAGGTTTGAGATGATATGCTATATATGGCTGGTTGAATGAGATATATTTAGGAGATTAAAAGCAAAAAAGGATAAATTATTTCTCTGAATATCATTGAATATGAACTGCTGATAATCATCAACTTATGCAGTCTTTTCAGGATAGCCACAGTTATTTTGCAACAATTACTGTTCTTGATAGCTATTGGAGAAATAGTACCTGTCTAGAAAATACTAGGTAGTAGTTCTGCTAATTTATGACTTGCCACTTATGTTAGGACCTTATAACATGAGTTGGCAAATGTAAATTATCTTTTTGGATATTGCTAATGTTCCCATATATATGGTTGGAAGGGATCATGAGATCTTAGTTGAATTGGTTTGCAAGTGATGGTCAACTTTATGAAAAGTTACAAGCTTAATTTGGTGCAGGTCGCTGCTTTATCTGTGGCACTGTTCAGAGCATTGAATCTTTTAACACGGTAAGGTTCTCAGCTCGCCAGTTAGCAACATTTTCAATGATGGTTTCTCTTACTCATGCTGTTGGGAAAGATGTCGTTTCGACTATTTTAAGTGTCGAAATGATCATACATTGTAGGCTTGTTGCAAGTGATTCAGGTTTTATTGATTATCCAGTTGTTCCTAGGTGATTCTATTCCTTTTCTCCCTCCTTCCCCTGTTATTCTTGTGTCCTTTGATAGCTTTTCTCCCCATCTGTTTCTTGGTAATTTTTCTCCCCCTCTGTTTCTGATTCGCTACTTGGCTCTTTTTAGTCTGGTATGAGTTGAGTTTTCAAGTTATGCATTTTAATAGAACTAATCAATTTCTACTTCATCTCAGATAATATAACTTTCTTTTTGCATGATTTATGATTAAATTTCATTCAAAATTGATTGACTTCTGGGTCACCGACTTTTTTTTAATGAGTATGAGGAATCACCTTTTTCTTCCTTACGTTTCTTTAATATATCACCTTCTTGATGCAATTTAATTAGGAATTGCAATCAAACTGGCCGAATGAACTGTGTTTTATTGATCTCACACCAACTATTCGAGAGTTTGGCTCTTCTTACAACATATCACAAAAAACATATCTAACACCTACCTTTAACTCTCTTTTATAGCTGCTCATCTCCTTCCTTAACTCTTGTAACCACCTATGCTCCTGACACCACAAACTAACAGCCTCTACTCCTTTACTTCACTTATTCAAAAGACTGATTTACCCTTTATTTGTTCCTCTCCTGGAATACATAATACGAAATCTGTTTGCATCACTTTTCTGGTTTAGCCTCGATTGAGGTTTTGCTATAGCCTCTCAAGTTCAGTATTTTCATTTAGAAGTGCCTTTTTCACAAGTGTCTGGATCTGTAAGACACCAAATAAAATAGTTATAACTTTCAGTTGAATTCCCAGCATGGATTCAATTGTGTTCTCACATTTTTCTGGTGCTCATATGAAGAATCTGGGCCAGTTCTGAAAAATATTACATTAATTGTTCATCAACAATGAACTTTGAGCAAAGTTGATCTTAGTGCAACTGTGCAAATGATCACATGCATAATTACAGGCACACACTTTGGATTTGATATTGTTGTTGTGTCATGTACCTGCAGGATAGTTGGAAAGAGAGAAATCTCGCACCAATTTTTGAGAAAAAGGGTCCATGTTTCTTCATCTTTTATTTAATGCAGGAGAAACATTTTTTGAAGTAGTTTTTTTTTAGAAAGTCGATCTATGCTGCTATTATAAGGTGTCTATCTGTTATAGTTAATACAAAAAGGGTGTATCTGGTTTCAGGTTTGTGTCTATTTTAGATGCTGCCTCCTTGAAACCGGATGCTGATAAATCTGAGGATATGTCTCAAGGAAGAAAAGTTGGTAAGGGGGTATTTGACTCTTCAACGGTCATGGTGACTCAGCCAAGTGAAGCTTCTATATCTTCTGGTAAACAGTCTGCACCTGTTGATGCGGAGAATGTTGCTTCTGTTGACAAGAAGAATGCATCTGAAGCTTCTGCAAAGGCTTCATACCAGAGGAAAGTTAAGAAGTCAGGTCGAACTATATCTCAGGATACAGACTCAACCACTGGTGATCAGTTAAATGAGAGAAGGGTGGATATATTTGCTTGTGAGGCACAAAATCCTACCTCTGATGCATGTGCTGCGACAACATCTGAGGGCTCAAAGAGAAAGGGAGATGTTGAGTTTGAAATGCAGATGGAAATGGCTCTTTCTGCAACTGCAGTGGAGACTTCTAAAGTCAATCTTGATACCGATGTTAAGAATTCGCATAGTAGTATATCCAACTTTTCTCCTTTTAAAAGATCAAAAAAGATCAGATGTGAAGAGTCATCTTCGTTCTCTCAGGGAATCTCTACTGCAGTTGGATCAAGGAAAGTAGGAGCTCCTATGTATTGGGCAGAAGTTTATTGCAGTGGAGATAACTCGACAGGAAAATGGGTTCATGTTGATGCTGTAAATGCAATCATTGACGGAGAACAGAAAGTAGAAGCTGCAGCTGCTGCATGTAAAACCTCCTTGAGATATGTGGTTGCTTTTGCTGGTCGAGGAGCTAAAGATGTGACTCGCAGGTTATGACTTGTTCCTCTTAATGTTCCGTCAATGATTGCATTTACATGCTCTTGATTTTGTAAAAGCATGCACCTCTTTTATATTTGTATATGTGTGTATATACAGCTGTATCAGAGAATGAATCTGCTGGAAAAACAGCAGTTGATTGCCTAGCTATATTTGTTCATAGATGCAGTCTTTCTTATTGTTACTGACTCAGGTATTAGGTTTAGGAGGCAAAGGATGGACATATCTAGGTTCTATGCTGTTAATTGCGGCGATATCTCGGATAGCGGGCCTTTACAAAATATCGGTGGTCAAATTGCGGTAGCGCAATTAGCGGAGCAATTTACCGCAATTTTGACCGATATTTAGTGTAAATTTCATTCGATATCAACGCAATTTTTGGTGGGTTTGGGCTTTATTTTCAGTCTTGGGCTTTTGTTATTAACAAGCTTCTTTTAAGTTAGTCAAGGCTTTTTTTGGGCTTTTAAGAACTAGGTTCTTACTTAGACTGTTAGACGACCACGACTTCTGCTTTAGACAAAGAAGTGAACGTATTAGATGATGGTGACTCAGATGTTGAACCTATTGCTTGTGATTAGCTCGTTTATGGACACATTTCCTATTTTGCAAATGGTATGTTTATGTAGGCATATTATATATATAATTATATATAATTCTAAGAAATATTATATGAACCGCTATTTTTGGACTGCTATACCACCGCTATTGTACCACTATAACCGTTATTTCAAATATTGGTCCCGACCGCAATTTTGTATTTTCACCGCTATAACAGCATAGTCTAGGTTGAAGCTTTGCCTTGTTTACTTGCATTGAATTCTTAGAACTTTATGATGAGTTCCAGAGATGGTGCTAGTGTCTATGGTTTAGAATAAGATTTTGAATCTGGGAGATGCATTGAGTTGTTTTTGGCACTTGTTTGGAGTAGTTTACGTGCATTTCTAAATAGGAAAAGGGAAAATGAGACCCCCTCTCAACCTCATCAAAGCCTAGTTTTGAGTATCCCTGGTCCCCCTCAAATGTTAATGCATTTGTTTCGGGGTCCTCCTTTTCCTTAATCCCTATATTTATTTATTTTGACATTTGTTCTATCATGATAGAGATATGTACAGCCTCACTTGTTGCCCCAGGAGAGGGCTCACACAGTACCAAGTGACAATCGATTTAGTTAGTCAAGTAGATACTTCTTCACTTTGTAAATGGTTAGTGGAGCTTTCAAATAGTTTGGCTGGAAAATCATACCAAATGAGGAGATGTGTAAAACTGGATCGCTCTCATAATATAATGATCTTAAGAAATTTTTGTAGCAACAGTGAAGACCTTGACTTGTGAAGAAGTTCTGGGAAGCCTTGAAAATTTTGAAGATTTCCATAAGCAAGAGAGGGCGCAATACAGTGAAATTATATACACACACACGTATTAAAACTAGATATTATCGTGACACATATAAACCACAAATGTCGTCACAACAATGTAATCCCAGTGCTATTTTTTTATCGTGATCAAGGAATAACACGGTTTTGGTTGCAAGAATTATATGTTGATTTTTATTCGTCCTTTTCCCCCTATTATCATCTTTCTATTTGGTGGGTGTGAGGCAGGTGCTGTTATTAGCTAGTACCTGGTGGGAGTTGTTTAAGGTAACTCCCATAGGCTTTGAGGTGTCACCTTTCTTATGTTGACTCATTTCTTGATAGTTTGTTGCTTTTCTTGAGCTCTCTCAAGAGGCAGAAGTTGCAATAGAATGACACTAGTAGCTGAAGATAATTTTGATTTGTTCATGATGACATACATTCCGATATACTTATCCAGCTTTTTTAGTATGTAACTTACTCCACTCGAACTTAAGTGGCCATTTTCACTTTACACAAATTTAATGTCTCCGGCAGAAGTTCCTTACTGAAAGTAACTTTCTACCCTTTGACCTACCTCATTGTCTAGAAGAAAGAAGATAAATGACATAGAAGCTGAAGGCATTGACTTGCTACATGCTATTCACATGGGTTCTTAAGGATACAAATGTTGCCTATACCAAGAAACCGGCTGTCTAGGGGGCCGTTTAAGTAAACGCTTACCCAGTAAGACTCAACACTCTAATTTACTTTACTGGGTAAGATTGTAGTTCATCAAAATGGTATCGTATGCAACAATTTATCCTGTAAGCGCCTACCGGGTAAGAGTGCCACCCTCACTTACCTGCTAAGGGTCGTCACCCTCACTTACTGGGTAACACTCTCCATCCTTATCATTGTTCTTATGGGGTAAGATTCTCGGCCTTGTCATGTTCATCCGGTAAGGTAATGGCCTGGTAAGCGCTTACCCAGTAAGCTTTAGTAAACGGCCATTAAGTTGGAACTTCTTAAAATGAAACAGAGGACACCTACCTTTGGATAGATAGAGTATTCTTTATCAAGAGAAAGATGAGATGACAAGACTGGACAGAAGGTTGAGGTTTGTAAAGACGGTATTCTTTCTAATGCAATACCATGCTAGTGTCACGTCAACACTTGACATGGCATTGAAGTACTATTGCTTTGAAACGACTTATGTAGACAACAGTGCTCGTAGTAACATTACTTTCCAATGAATGTCTAAAACCTTGACCTTTCAGGTATTGTGCAAAGTGGTACATGATAGCATCACATCGAGTTGATTCGACTTGGTGGGACACAGTGTTGCGGCCACTGAAAGAGTTGGAGTCTAGAGCAATTGGAGGTGTGGTCTATATGTAACATAAGATTGATAACAAAAATGTAAATGTAGATGCAACAAATATATTAAATCCACTAGCTTTTGGTTCTTCATCAGGCACTTGCAGATTGTCTGATAAGTCTAGCATGAGTGTGATAAGGGGTGATGTGAAAAAGGAAGAACATGCATCAGTGAGCAGTTTCTTTTTTGCCACCAGGACCTCTCTTGAGGATATGGAGCTGGAGACGAAGGCATTAACTGAGCCTCTTCCAACTAATCAACAGGTTAGGTGCACAGAAATGGTAATTTATATGTCCATACATTTTTATGTTCTTTATTTATCATTCTGGGATTTCATTACTATATTCAGGCATACAGAAGTCACCATTTGTATGCTCTTGAAAGATGGCTTACAAAATACCAGATTCTTCACCCTAAGGGCCCTATTTTGGGATTTTGTTCTGGTCATCCTGTTTACCCAAGAGCTTGCGTCCAAATGCTGCACACCAAAGAGAGATGGCTGCGGGAGGGGCTGCAATTAAAAGTTGATGAACTTCCAGTGAAGGTTCGCTTTGTCTAAACTTTCAGAGTTCTATTGCAATGTCCATCTTCATGTAACTATCGATTGTGTGTCTTTTCTGCAGGTGTTGAAGCGCTCTGTAAAGCTAAACAAGGGGAAGTTTCCTGGAGATGAAGATGATGAGAATGATTGTGTAGGGCCTGGAGGCACTATCAATCTTTACGGCAAGTGGCAAACAGAACCCTTGCGTTTACTTCCTGCAGAAAATGGGATTGTGCCAAAGGTGAATCATTTCTCTTTTACTCCAATGATTCATCTATTTGGAGAATTATTTGACCCATCAAATTCTCTAGCGTGTGTGGATATATAGGACATTCATGCTTTATGATGTAATCTTGTTCATTTAATGGAATTTTATTGATCTGTCTGAAGCATATCTGCCAATACCTGATAACACAAAATAGTTCATAAAAATGTTGGCAATTTTATGTTCGTGGAATTAAATGAGGACAGGCTAGCCATTTTAGTATCAGTATGACTTCTGCTACAAAAAGAATGACTTGCATCCTCTGATTATAAGTTCGCTTTGATAAATACTATTTTGTAGTTCTAATTTTCTTAAATATGTCATTAAGGTTTGTTTCTGTAGTGCGCTTTTCGATGTGGCTGAGAGAGGGAATTACTAACTACTAGGTGTTTGGCTTGTGAAAGGTCATTATATGATGAAATTGATGTATTTTCTACTTATCATTAGTTTCTGTACACTATTAAAATAAGAACCATTAGGTTTTTATCGTTGAATGTTAATTGATTGTCTCTTTTTTCAATTGTCATTATATATTTTCTATCATTTTGTGTGTGTATGTATGTATGTGGATCCGTTTTCAGTTATTATATATGAGCATAAACAAAACAACCAAAATCATGTTTGTATTAAAGACGTATTATGATTGAAGTTTATATATATGCACTGAAAACATCTACACAATAAAGTTCATACAGTAGAGGAAAATAAGATTCATATCACATTCAAGTAGATACGGTGGAATAAAATATATCACCAAACATCACAGCATGATTCAAACTTCATTCTTGAGAAAAAAAGAAATGAGCACAGGGGTAACAAACAAGCTAAGCTACTCTAGAAAAAAAATTTACTTGGAAATACCTGAAAAATCATGTTACAAGGAACTTGATATTACCCCGTGTCCCAAGAACATGCATTAGGGGCCGTTTACCAAATACTTACTTGGGTAAGCGCTTACCAAGTTATATTACCTTACCAGATGAATATGATAAGGACCAAAAATCTTACCCGGTAAGAACGAGGCAAGGACCGAGAGTCTTACGTGGTAAGTGAGGGCAATGACTCTTACCACAATTAGCTCTTACCGTGTAAAGTGTTGCATAAAAAGCCGTTTTTGTTGACTGAAATCTTACCTGGTAAGTAAATAATAGTATTGAATTTTCCTAGTGAGTGCTTACCGGGTAAATGTTTGGTAAACGACCCCTTACTTTCCAAACAAAAATGCAGCATTTTCTTGTTGTCTAAAATTTTCAATCCTGATTTACTTTTTACCCATTACTTATTGTTTGAAATTAGTAACTTTAATGTTGGTCTCCATTGTGCTGTTATTGATGGGTAGTTTAGACATTTGGAGACTGAGTGAGTATTCAACTATGGATGTATTATTCTGTGCATTGTGTTAAAAAGATGACGTTGTGTATGCATACATGTAATTTGGATGTAGATTAAATTGATGGAGAAACGCTTAGATATACCCATATCCTGTCCATTTATTTGAGGATTCCAATCATAGGTCATGGATATTATCCGCTTCTGGGTGGATATTGTACAAAATATTTGTTTCTAGTTTCTGAGTTTGGATGCATACTGAAGTTGAATTTAATAGGTATCCATTTGTACAGTTCAGCAGGAATGCCCAGTTATGAGTTTATGATACTAAATTTTCATGGGGTTTGCTTTGTTATATTTGTTGATAAACCTCATGTGGCAAGATCATTTTGCTTAGATAATAGTCCCTTTTATCTAATTATGACGTTATGTTGGTGTACAGAATGAGCGTGGCCAAGTAGATCTGTGGTCTGAGAAGTGTCTTCCTCCAGGAACTGTGCATTTGGGGTTCCCAAGGATCTTTGCTGTTGCAAAGAAGCTGGAGATCGATTATGCCCCTGCAATGGTTGGATTTGAATTCCGAAATGGCCGCTCTGTTCCTCTATATGATGGCATTGTGGTGTGTACTGAGTTCAAGGATACAATTCTAGAGGTAGCCTGATCCACTTTTGATGTTTTCAGCATTACAGGATCGCAAGTCGCTTTGTATATTTGAATTGCAATCGTTTTCGTTACAAATGTTCTCTAGTGGTTTATTTTTGTTGAGGAGTAATGTTACAAACTTTTTCGTTACAATATCACGTATAGTTGTCGATGATTCTGCGTTTTTCAGGCATATGCAGAAGAAGAAGAGAGGAGGGGAGCAGATGAGAGAAGAAAGAATGAAGCCCAAGCCATATCCAGGTGGTATCAACTTCTTTCATCCATCATTACGCGACAAAGATTGAACAACCGCTACGCAGAGGGAGTTTCAAATGATGTTCAAAAAACATACGATACATTTCATCATCATAAAAGTACGAATAGGGAGGACATACAGAAACCGATATCCCACCAAGCAAATGAAGACGACCCTAGTCAACCTGACGCTCTGCCACAGCCATCAGAAGAGGACCACGAGCATGTGTTTTTGTTGAATGATCCAAGTTCTGATGATGGTTCCACACGGACAAAGCGATGTCGTTGTGGGTTTTCAATTGAAGTGGAGGAGTTTTAGGTGAGGCTATTTGGCAATAACTAAATTCATCTGTGTAAAAATGTTTGTATTAATGCTTTTGCAGTGGAGTTGTGAGGTTATTTGGCCATAACTATAAAAGCATCTCCAACCATACGACAAAATCCACATTTTACCTCTCATCAACCTTAACACTAAAACACTGCACCAGAAACATCAAATTTGGTGAGTGGACTTCACATTAAAATGACATATTTTATTTATAATTTATTTTATATCTGTTAATTTGTATTATAATAAAATGAAATTATATTAGATATACAAAAAAAAAAAGAGTAACGGTGGACCTAACCTTGTGCTGTTTTCAATTCACGCGGGATATACCGTGTGAAAATCTTGGCCGGCAAAACCCTTTTTTTATTTACAAGACGGTTGGAGCTTGAGAAACGGCAAATCAAGGCGGATTGTCGTGTGGTTGGAGATGCCTTAAGAGGCAAAAAGAACGGCGAAGTGTTGGGAGATGATATAGGAGTGGTATGTATATAATATATATATATATATATATACGTATCTATCTGACTACCCTGTTTTTATAAGACTTGTGAAACCATAAAATAACAATGAAACTTCGTAGCAAAACATTGTAAAGACATGAAAAACATCAAAACTTCACAATAAATCATTATGAAAGTGTGAAAAACATCAAAACTTTATAGTAAAAGCATTATAACTATTTACCTTGACAGTGTTTTGTTATAAATGTTCAAATGTTATTTACATGGTCTCATAAAATCAAATTGATCTCATATGTTCGAAGTCTAGATATATTTATAAAAGTTTGAAATATGAGATTCACATAAGACGAGTCTGTTTTCATGAACCTAATTATACTAAAACTTTACAAAAAAACACTACAAATATGTTATAAAAGTTTAGTGTTATTTATGTGATTTGATTATTTTTACACAAATAATACTTTAAAATTTTTGACTACCAAAATATAAAGGGAAGGGGTAGTAGTTTTTATATGCACATCCACCATTTGTTTCAACGAAATACCTCATAATTTACATACAACATAACATACAAATGCATTTAACATAAAACCTAAATCACAACAAACCCTCTAACACATTCTACCAACACAACCTTACAAACGTCTATTTTTCCCAAACACAAATTTCCTAATCCAGACTAATGCTTCTCTCAATTCATGGATTCCGACTTGTATATTAATCTGAATTTCGGAATTTCTGCTCTGGAAAAAACCCTTTTATCTTTTCTTTCCTAAAGTTAAGACTCAGTTAGCTTCCACGCCGGCAAACTCCGGCTGAACCTTGCGTGGCCTCCCTCTTGGCCGCCCGGTTTTTGAAGGGGCTGCCGGCACCGCCGCAGCCTTGACCTTTTTGGGCGCTGGTGGTGCATTTGGATCCTTCTTGGGTCGGCCTCTTCCCCTTTTGACTTCAGACCCTGTTTGAGCCTGGATCTGAGTCTCCAAAACAGCCGGATCCTTGGGCTTGGGTGGGCGACCACGGCCGCGTTTCAGAGGTGCACTGGGGTCCGGCCGCATGTAGTTGTTATTCAAAACCACTAGCTCGCCGCTATCAACCAACTTGTTCAGCATGTCCGTCAGGATATTGGTGTGTTCATCCGGCAAATACTCGCACGTTGATTCGATGTAGTTTGAAATCGATGATTCGCTTGATCCCTCCTTTTCTTTCAGAGCATCAATTGCTGCAAAAATCATCTGCACAAAAACACCCAACAACTGAACTTTTCTAGAACTACAATAAAACCCCAAAATTAAAAAAAAAAAAAAAAAACCCCAATTTATAAGCAAGGGTAAATTGATCAAAGCTCAAAAACCCATGTCGCTAGGGCAACAAAAATTCACATCTAACCATCAAAATCGATTCAAACCCTAGAATTAAAAGTTAGGTCTTATTAGAAGATGAAAGTGGTTCAAAAATTACCTCTGTATACGGGGGCAGCGATGGGAGTCGGCTAAATTCTTGGTCGGCCATTAGAAGGGGGTGAAGAGAGAAGAGGATATCAGCTTTCGTAGAAGAAGGAAGCACAGTAACAAAGTGTGTGCATGGGTGAGCTTTTGGAGACAATTTATGTGAGGAATCTCTGGGTTTATGAAAGAAATCGACGGTTGTAATTTGCGGTGGTGATTAGATCAACGGCTTTTGGATTTGTTTATGCAAAGAATCACGTGGATCGATGACGTGGCTACTGTGCACTAGTCTTCAAAGTGTTTTTCTTGCAGGAGTGAGTTTTACCCTTTTCTCCTTTTTCCTTTGCTTTCAAAATATAAATCGAAATTAAATTAGATTATCTTATTTTCGTATTATTTATTATTTATATTTTAAATTAAATATATTTTCAAGAGCCTTTTGATCTATTAGTAACCTTCTTTTATTTTAATTTAGAAATTAAACAAATATATTAACATTTTAATATATATAAACACCTGTTAACAGACGAACAATCGTGCGAGAATATGAATGAATCAAGCATAAGAAAAGGATTTGAATCATTGATAACTTTTTATCTCATCTCCACTCCATGAATTACATTTATTACAAGAATTGATCAAGTACATCTTGGTGTACCGTATTAGTGTTGATTTTCAATTAAGATTGATGCAATGATGGTTCTCACGAGAATTGATCCAATGCATCGTGAGTGATGCTATATGCATTATGCACAGTTCCAGTAGTCAAAAGAAGTAGACAATGACGTCTAGTACAATGTCGATGGCAAAAAAAAACGATACAAAGTTGTGATGCTCGAGTTATTTAAGAAATGTGCGTGTATGATTATGGTAGCTTATGTGTGTGATCAATCGTCATTGTCTCCTTTTATCTTCGTTTTGTCCACGATTAAGTTCTTTTCTCATATATGCATGGTAGTTGGCAATGCAACTAAGAGGCTATTTGGTAGTTGCTGAATGGTTTGATACATAATGATTAAGTAGTCAGAATGATTTAAGAGTCTCTCATAATATAGCACAACATAAAATATAATTGTTTGATAATTATTTACAACAAAATTAGGACGCTAAATGGTTAAGGGAGGCACATGCTACAAAATCATTCAGAGAGTTTTAGAACCATTAAAAACAGATTTTTTTTTCTCAAATTCGTCTCTTAATGATTCAGATGCTGCCTTTTAATGGAACTATTAAGTGGTAAACAAACAATCTCTAAGTACCTCGGCCTTCAACCAGCTTATCAGGGATGGACTTGGTCAAGGTATGAAACGGATGCATCTTCAGGTCCTCGCGTTTCAAAAACACCTTAGCATCGGTGGACTTTTACCCGAAACAACGATCAACGATTAAAATTACACCAAACTAGTAATTAACTTGATTCTAATTAAAGTGTTTACATTTTCTGAATCCTTTCTAAAGTGAGGTTTGTCTCCAAGCAGAATGAGATGCCTCATCATCTTGTTCATTCAGATTCATACCCTCATGATCAAACAGATGAAACAGTCTATTTCCCTTATAACTCTCATCTAAACTTGCTTTTCTGATACAATCCTTTAGCTCATCTAGAATCCATATAGATTCTTCAACTGTCCTTGAAGACTCCTTGCTACTGCTGCTTGAATTATCCAAGAGTTTCTCTTTGTACATTTCAACCTCATTCTCGAGCTCCACTTTCTCATTCTCTAGCTTCATAACGAGTTCGTTTAAGAGCTGCACAACCTCCTGATCATACTCGGCTTGTTCGTTCATCATTCTTTGATTGTGCTTGGATTCAATCTGCACTGCAACCTTTTCTTCTTCAAGCCTGGTTATGGTAGCCATTGCTTGTTTTGCAGCTATGGCGGACACGTTCCTTTCTTCATCTAGTTGTATGTATAAACCATATACAGCAAGTCTTTCAGCTTTTAGTTCTGCCATTAAACTATCAATGGAGATACCAGCTTTATCTCCTTCATCTTGGCAATCTGATGATTTCAAGAATCTGCCATCTGCATACCATTTGAAACTAGAAATGAATCGACTTTTTAACGACAATCCTATATAGTACCTATTTTGACCTGAAATTATGTACAATATTCCAAATTAAGCAAACTAATTAAGCAATCCTGACCTTGTTCTTGGACTTGATCTTCATGCTTACACACCATGCTTTCATGTCCATTTGAACCAGCTGAAGTTGTGCTACAACTGGTTGATGAATCGGTCCACTCAAGAGGGATAATCTGGTCAAAAACTTGAATGTGTCCACTACTCTTATTCTCAACAGGAAGATCCATGGCTTGTACCATTTCATTTTTCCTATAAATTGATTTGTACGTTGAGGGACGAGTGCCATCAGATGATCCATCCACATTATTCACCTGAAAGCAACATGAACAGCTTCCATTTCTGCATAGAGGCTCAGTTGTCACCTTTAGACCAAGACAGCAGTAAAGATTGAAAATCTCAGTTGCATGTGATTCACAAATGAGATCTGGATATGGGTCTAAGAGATGATGAATGGTGGAACACCAAAAGCAGGGGGGTTTAAGGCGGTGATGGGTAGCAAATTTTGTGATGAGATATGAGAAGAAAGAATTGAGAAGCAGCATTAGAATTAGGATCCATTCGAATAGTGCGTAGGATAGAAGAGTGAAGAGGGTTTTGTGAGTGGCAGCCATTGATGTTTTTGTGGGTCGTGTTCCTCCCTCAACTTATAAAGAAAGGAAAAGCAGGAGACAGAATTGATGAAATTTGGGGAATCATGATGGTGATGATGGGACCCTCTTTTAATTGTAATCTAAAATTTGAGATGATGGGAGTAACAATGTGGCGGGACCAGGTTACAATCAAGTTAGATACTCAAATTTTGTAATAAACACACACAAAATTGGACCAAAAGACCATATACAATACCACATGTACAAAAACCATAATTTACTCGATATCTAAATATTATTCAAATATTTCTATCAAAATCTAAGGGACTGTTTACCAAACGTTTACTTGGGTAAACGCTTATCAAGTCACATTACTTTACTGGATGAATATGATAAAGACCAACAATCTTACCCAATAAGAACGAGACAAGGACCAAAAGTCTTACCCAGTAAGTGAGGCTATGACTCTTACCACGGTAAGCACAGGGCCGGTCCTAAGATTTTTGATCCCCTGTGCGAAAATAATAAAAAATGCTCCTAAGCCTATTTTTTAAACCAACGAAACATGTGATTTTTTGAGAGTTTAAAAACTATTCAAGCTAATTATCTCATCCCTATGTTGATTTTTATTAATTTTAATAAAAAAAAAATACAATGGAGGGATATAAAAACCAAAACCCCGAATACAAAACATAAAATGATAAAAGGATAAATCATGGATTAAGATTGTGCTTCATTCTTTTCCGGTTTTTCCTTTTCCAAATTGAAATTAGCAAAATAGAAACTTTATTTCAATCTATGGGACTTAAAAGACAAGGAAAGTTATAATTAGTTTTTAAGTAAAATAGTAAAACGCATCTAAATTATTGTCATAGTAAGCAAAAAGTAAAACTCAAAAGTTATAGGTCTAACAACTAAAGGTGTAGGGCCTATATGTTAATAACTTATAATTGATTAACTGGTAATACATATGAGAGATTTTCTGTTACAGACTTCCCATTCATACAAACTTGCTAAAATTGATATATATCCTATATAGCTAGGTGGATAACACACAGTTTGACTAAAATGCCCTTTGGTCATCCCTACCTATACTTGACAATTTATTTATTCCAATGGAAATTAAAAACAGAGAAATACAGTTAAGACATGAATTAAGGGCACTTGGGTTTGCCTTCCTTGGTCTTCCAGTTATTGTAGCAACGACCGCATTTCTGTTTGTTACCATAAACACCCGGTGGTACGCACAAGCATTTGGCGCAACACTTTTGGCAGAAGAACATGCACGGCTTCTTGTGCGATGTCGCCGAGCATCGAATTTTACATCTTCCTTTGCATTCTGCATTCCGTTAATTCAATAGTTTGATTAATTATGTATTAAATTGAGTGTCATTTCATACAACAATTACTAAACATTGAATATGAAGATGGAAATTAATGTAACTTGTGTACCTCTTGGACGAAGCTTTCTGTACCCCTGTAAATAAGTAGCATATTTATAGCTAGTGAGATTGATTGTATATGCATTTGAAAATTAGTGGAGCTTGAAAAGGTGCAAGTAGTTAATTGATTAGGTACCTGAACCAGATCGGCGAATGCGATCAAGAGAATGAGCGAGAGGACCAAAATCAGAGCTCCTCGTCGTCCTCCTGCCATTGGAATGATGATGTGAAGAAATAGGTGAACAGAAGATGGTTATTTATAGGCAGTTGGGATGGAGCTCAGCATCATACATGCGCATGTGTTTTAATTATACATACATACATATATGTATGTATAAATGGTGTATGTGTGAGTGTGAGTGTGAGTGTGAGTGTGAGAGGGAGAGATGAATCTAGGGAATGGAAGTGTATAGGAGTGGTGGTATGCAGATGCAGAGGTTAAGGCGTAAAAGAGGGATTCAACCACCAAAAATTAAGAGTCCCTTCAACTCTCCAGATCTAATATCCAACCAAATTTAATTCACCACATTAAACGCCACCTTTCATGACAACTGATTCATAAACTAATAATACTATATATGTATGTGTATATATATATATATATATATATATATATATATATATATATTAACCAAAAACTGCTGCTGCAACTTCTTAATAACACGAAACCCAAAGTAAAGCAGGTACATAAAAACCAGAATCCATGGAGTCTTTGAATTCAATTGGTGTATAATGATTAATTAATGAAGCAGTGGATTCAACTTCTTCTGCTACCTTCAACATTACTCATATGTGTGTGTATATATATATGGCAATGATTTAATTTTGATGATGAATACATATTAAATTTGTTGTTATGGGATGCACATGAGATGATGAAAGGAGGCGATGACGCCGGCACATCATCTGTCTTCACATGTGCATTTACTTCATTACTTTCCCTCCCCCCGTCCACTTCTTCATGCTACAAATTAATACAATGAACTATTAAGAGGCAACTCTAAACCGTTAAAGAAGTGAATCTTATTTGGCAAAATAAAAATATGTCTCTTAACGGTTCTAAAACCCTCAGAATGATTTTGTATCATGGATCTCCCTTAACTATTAAGGGCCCTAATTTCATTGTACACAATTACCAAACAATTATATTTCATTTTACACTATATCATGAGAGCCTCTTAATCATTTTACACTAAACCATTCAGCAATTACCAAACAGCCCCTTAATTACCTTTGTTTTCATACCCGATACATGACGTCCATCCTTTTTCTTTTTCCTTCTTCGACCAATCATTTTGTTAGCCAAAAGAAAGAGAATGAAGAGGTAGTTTTGTATTATGCAGTTCCTTTTGATTAATTCTTTTTCTTAATGATTTCTTCCTATTTGATTGTAGATGTATATTATAACACTCTTTTATCCGTTAATTTATACAAGTTGTGTTAAGTGAACTTCAGGTAACATATTATACCATATATGTTTAACCAACTTGTACATTGGACTAGTTTTGTGACGAAAGGCTATATAAGGGGTCACACATGCACAAAATGAAATTGAACTTAACTTAAAATGTTAAGTTTATACCTAATAGGGCATAAACTTTATATATATAAAGGAAAACCATATATTAAAATCAAAACATCTTCTCCTTCATTCTTTCACCGTCATGTTCTCTCTCTCTCTCTCTCTCTCTCTCTCTCTCTCTCTCTCTCTCTCTCTCTTCTCTCTAAAAATTATCCTAAATTACTAATATATATTCGAAATCCACTCTTTAAACCCTTCTTAAGAATATAAATTTTTTTCGTTTTATTAGGGTGTTCATATTAGGATTTTTAAAGTTAGTTTATGATGGTGTATATAATTAGTATATTGGTGTTACAGAATTTGGTTATCTTATATGTTTTTGAATGTTTTGGTTCACTAAGATTGATGTGGAAATTAAAAGGGTAAATTATGGATTTAATATGGTTACATTTGGTGTATAAGATTAACCGCACATTAAGTGTTCAGTTAAATGTCTAAAAGAACAAAATTGTATGATCAAACTTAGGATAATAATCAAGCTTCCTTGTGGTGTTTATTATGTAATGGTATGTTAAGAACATTTAAATGTTGCAAATCATTGAATTTGGGATCATAAAAGTGAGTTGAGGAAAAATGTGTAAATCGGAATTACGAACAGTTGCAAGTCTAGTAGTTTAACAATGCATAACTCTCAAACTGTAAGTCGGAATAAACTCATATATTGCAGGTAGAGAGCCTTTAGTGTATACTAAAACTGTTATGAAGGGTCTAAAACCCAGTTGTGGTTCTAAGTGACTCAAAACAGTGTGTTTTTAGGGTTGTTCACTGTGTACTTGGGATCATAGTTGTTGTTCTATAAAATTCATATAAAATAGATGGATGATTCAAATGATATGATTCCAAAATTAATAGACTCATAAGAGTTCATACTACAACTTTCATTTAGATGATAGAATCTAGTTGGGCCTCTAAATAGGGTAAAAATGCTTAAAAAGAAGATAGATGTAAGTTGTTGGATCGAAAGTGCATAAGGCTAAGTGTTACATTTGAGTTTTCAATTCTTATCTGGCCGTCCTTCTTGAAGTCTATGTTGTTTAAGTAAATTAAGACCTAAATAACTTTATTAGAATAATTTATATTAGGGTTTTTATGTTTTGCAAATAATAACTCGTTTATGCATTCGTTAGGCACGCGGACAAGTCAAACTTGATCGTGAATTCCGTTTGATCGTGCCTTAATTATCAAATCCGATTAAGGTACGAATTTCATACATCACTTGATACAAGGATAGCCATTTGCATAAGGTTTTTTAATCCGAGTAACTTATGATAAATTTCGAATATATTGGTTCCAAATTCTCATTTTATTGAACTTTTATTTCTTTTGAACTATGACTTGAATTCTAATTTGGAACATGAATTACTTGATTACTTGACTGGTGAAATCGTATCTATTGTGAACCTTTTTCTATAGACTCAATATTGTGGGCATCGGTATTGAGATGTTTACATGGGGGCTAAAACGATCATGGGGTCCCAATTTATATAGTATTTAAAGATGGACTTGATTATGTACCGGTCAAATAGAGAGTGTATGGATCAATCTTAGGAACCGTTATCCGATAATAAAATGTTGTGTTGTTCTCGCACCCCTTTCCTCACTCATGCCGAATGACTGTTTATCCTTTAGGAACAACGCATCCTCGTGATGCAGTTTGGTCTTCGGACCACATGTCTTCGGGACATTTTGATTTTCTTTTGAATTATGACTTAATGTTATGTAATTGCTTTTAAACTTGATATCTCATATTCATTGTTTAGTCATTATTATCCGTTCACTAAGTATTAAGCTCAACTAGGATTTTTTTTGTCATCGGCAGGTACATGACTTAGCAGAGATTTTGGGATGAGAGCTACGGATATGACAATACTGAAGATAACCCATTAGGACATAGTTTGGTTAGCTTTTGATGACTAATGTAAATATATTTGTATTTTGAGACCCTTTTTTGATACACGTTGTTATCTCCGTTTGTGTTTATATAATTATCTTTTGATAAATTATATTAGCTGCTTTGTTTTATATAATGCATTAAATTTTATTTTTTTTAACTAATTGTGGCACCTTCTGTCTTTAACCATGCGGGACGATAATGTTACACATATACTAGGTGATACAATTGCTCATGTTTGATCAAGTAGATTACATATGCCATAACATTTCACTAAATTAGTGTTTATTGGTGAACCTTGCATATATTGAAAGATGCCAAATAGAAATATTGATTCATAGTAATAATTGTTTATGTATGAACAAGTAGATTATGTTAACAGGTATGAGTGCTCGGTTAATTGTTCATTAATGAACATGTTTTGTTACTTGTTCATTATTCATTTGTGATCGGTTGTTCACTAGTAAACATGGTTTGTTACAGATGCAGATGATGACGGCGACAAATGACCTAAATGTTCAGTTATGAACCAATTTTGTTGTTATTTGAGTTACAGTTACTGTTCATGCATGAAATTCATTTCATAACGTAGTGATGTTCACTTATAAACATCACCATATGTTCACTTGAATAACTATAACAAAATTAGGTTTATATGACACCAACAAAATTAAGCTTTCCAATAGACCACTTTATAAAACTTAATTTATAGGACAAAAAATAAAACGTATTATCTAAATACATTGCAATAAGTTTATATAACGTTTTTAGACGTCCTAACAAGTTTTTAGAATACTTATAATACAAAGCGTCGCATTAACACTTTTATATGATGATGTTTAAAAGAATTTTCTATAAAAACAAACATCATATAATAAGATGGTTTTTTAGGACGCTTAATTTTTTGGTCTCCTATAAACCTAATTATGTTGTAGTGATAGTTTTTCTTAATTGTTTGAATAATTATTATTTTTCGAATCTTAATTTATAATTTCTATTTGTTGTTATTGGAATTATTTGTAGTTTGACTATATATTAATAGTCTCATGTTAACCGAAACTAATTTTCAATATTTTTGCTCGCATATTTAAATTCTCTAACTCAAATATATGTAAATTTATCTCGATTCTTTTGTTTTTCTTAACTTGATATTTTAAAACGCTAGTCTTTTTTTGTGAATTTTATAGTTTTTAAAATCAATATAAAGATTTTTATTTAATATGTACTTTATTTAAAATATTTGATTTGTGAATGGATAAATAAAAAAAAACATGAATTTCATTATATATTAGAGTTGATTGCATTTTTGGTCCCTAAAGTTTGTTTAAAGACCAATGAGTCTTTTATAATGGTTGCTAACTAACATTGTTAAGTGGAGGGACCATGAATGTTATGAAAATGAAAAGTTAAGGACCACCAGTGTAGATAGCTTGTTTTATGAATCAAATCCAAAGTTTGAGCAAAACAGAGGGACCACTAATATAATTCACCCTTAAAAAGTTAATACATAAAAGAGTAACAAATTTTTTTAGTTTCTGATATAATTTAAGAAGTATTTACTGTTATATTAAAGGCTCAAACATGTATTAGTTAATTACATTGAAGAAGAAAATATGTGAAAAAACTAATTAGTTGTTCATTTTATAGTATTGCTTATTGTTTTCTCTAAGTTTTTTTATATATTACAAAATCAGAAACTATTTTGCCTACAAAACATTGATATATTCTCCATTGTTCATCTCTCACCGACTTTTTTGATTATTCCGTCCGCATGAATTTTATTTTTGTATTAGAATATAGAAGATTTCTTGTTATTAACTAAGAAAAATTCCTACCTATATGAGACGATCCA